AATGCGTTTGCTAAGAAGGAAACGAAGTTTGAATGGACGGATAAGTACAAAAGGAGTTTTCAGGATTAAAACAGAGTTTGATGACTAAGGCAACATGGAAGGGTGGTAGTATACGCATCGCGACAGTTGAGATCGCATGAGATGAATCACCCGACGCATGACTTAGAATTGGTCGCGATTATTTTCGCTCTTAAGATTTGGAGACACTACCTGTGTGGGGAGAAATTTCAAATTTATACGGACCATCAAAGTCTAAGGTACTTGTTTTCTCAAAAGGAATTAAACATGAGACAGCGCCGTTGGATGGAACTCCTTAAGGACTACGACTGCGATATTTTATATCACCCCAGAAAGGCTAATAAGGTAGCGGATGCACTGAGTTGGAAATCGAGCATCGCGCGTATGATGGTCAAAGAATGGACCTTGTTGGAGGGAGTCCAGGATTTAGAGTTTAAGTTTGAAGTGAGCCATGTTTTCAAGTCTACTTGCCGCATTGAGGATTGAATCGGAAATTCAGACTAAAATTAAGGCTTTACAATCTACGGACCCGGAGATTCAGAAGATTTTGATGTATGGATGCCACAAAAAGGAAATCGGATTTTCAGGTATCCGAGGATAGGATTCTAAAGTTCCGTGGATGGTTATGTGTGCCAAGTGATACAGAACTGAAGGAAAAGATTTTGTTTGAAGCACACCGTAGTACGTATAGTATTCACCCGGGGAGTACAAAAATGTATCAGAATTTACAGCAGCATTATTGGTGGAACGGCGTGAAAGTGAACGTGGCCAAGCATGTGGCTAAGTGTTTCACATGCCAATAAGTGAAGGCGCAACATCGCAAGCCGGGTGGAATGTTGCAGCCATTGGAAATCCTTAAGTGAAAATGGGAACATATCACAATGAACTTCGTCATAGGATTACCGAGGAGCCAGAGGGGCCATGATTCGATTTGGGTGATAGTGGATTGGTTGACAAAGTCAGCACATTTCCTACTAGTGCGAAAGGATTTTGCCTCGGAAAGGTATGCCAATTTGTATGTGCGATACATAATCCGTCTCCATGGAGTACTAGTAACGATCACCTCGGACCGTGATCCTAAGTTTACCGCCGCTTTTTGGAAAAGTCTTCATATGGCATTAGGAACGAGATTACAGTTTAGCACGGCTTATCATTCGCAGACGGATGGCGAGTCTGAGAGGACGATTCAGACTTTGGAAGATATGGTGCGAGCATGTGTATTGGATTTTAGGGAAAGTTGGAAAGGCCCTTGGTTGAGCTTGCCTATAACAATAGCTATCAGCAGAGTATCAGAATGGCACCATTCGAGGCACTCTATGGCAGGGCTTGCAGAACACCGGTTTGTTGGGATGAAGTTGGTGAGAGGAGCATCACAGGTCCCGAGTTGGTTCAGCAATCAGTCGAAACAGTCAAGGTAATTCGGGATAGGCTTAAGACCGCTCAGAGCCGCCAAAAGAATTATGCGGACCGGAGACGTAGGCCTTTGGAATTTCAAGTAGGGGGACCACGTTTTCCTCAAGGTATCGCCTATGAGAGGATTATCTCGGTTTGGTAAGAAAGGGAAGTTGAGCCTGAGGTACGTGGGCCCATTCGAGGTCTTAGAGAGAATTGGTATCTTGGCCTATCGTCTCGCGCTACAACCAAATTTGTCTCAAGTGCACAATGTGTTCCACGTGTCAATGTTAAGAAAGTATGAACCGGACCCGACCCACGTGATAGACATGGACGACAGAGTGTCGTATGTGGAAAAGCCAGTTCGGATCGAGGACAGAATAGAAAGAATGCTGCGGAACAAGAAAATTCCGATGGTCAAGGTGATTTGGGAGCACCAGGGAACTGAAGGTGCGACGTGAGAAAGCGAAGAGTTGATGCGACACCAATACCCCCAATTGTTTGAATAGTTGGGTTGGATTGTAAATTTCGAGGACGAAATTTTTGTAAGGGGGGAAGAGTTATGACATCCCGAATTTCGGCCCATTTTTGGGATTTATAAAACGCGTAATTTGTCAGTGTGCTTATAGTAAAATCTCGCCCGGGAACTGATCACTCCCGATGATCATTTTAAATTAGAGATTTCGCTAGAATCGCACTCGATCAAATTTGGCCGTTATTTGGATCCCGAACTTGACAGTCGATTTCCGGGATTTTCGAGACAAAATAAATTGGACGGTGTCAATATTATGGTAGCCAACGTTGAGATTTTCAGGAATGATGGAAAAAGGGGAGTTTTTGACCACGTGCGAATTTGGACTAGTAGACCTCCCTCGTTATATTTTGGTCTAATTAATTTGGCATTTGTCCATTTTTATATGCGAGGCTTATTTTGGACCGGTAGATCGTTTTCGATTTTGAATTTGGACCATCGGTTTGCAAATAATATTTGAATATTCAAATTATTTCTTATTCTATTTCTCTCTCTCTCTCTCCTCCCCCTCTGCTGCGCACGATGGCCCCCTCCACGTGTCTCCTCACGCTCATTTGTTTCCTCATACCTTCTCTCTCTCCTCTCTCTTCTTCTCTCTCCTTTCCTTCTCCCTTCTTTCTTCTTCTTCCTCCTTCCTCCCGCATCACGTTCTCGCTCCCGCTTCGCTCCTTCTCCCGCGCGCCGACGCCGACCGCCCGAGCTCGCCCTGGCCGCCGCGCATCGCCGCCGTCGACAACTAGCTTGACCGCCGCGCCGTCGTCCGCTGGGCCACCGCCCGACCGGGCTGGTCTCCCCTCTGTTCCGCATCTCGTTTCCCGACCCTTCCGCGCGCGTGTCTTCCACCGCGCCGCCGTTCGCCGCCGCGCGCCTCACCGCCCGTCTAGCCGGTGTTCCTGTCGACCCGGAGCCGCTGTTCGTGCCGCCGATCGTCCGAGCCGACCGTCCCCGTCACTCCTTTCTCTTCTCTCTCTCCCTCCGGCTTGGGCCAGATCTGGCCGTGTCGGCGTTGCTCACCGCCGCGAGCCGCCCCGGCCAACCGTCGCTGCCTCGGCCCGCCGACCGCCACCCCACCGCCTCGGCCGACAACCCGACACCATCCCTCCCCCGCTCCGTCACCGCTCTCCTCCCTCGTTCTCGCCTTCACCGCCCCTGCTCCCGTCGCCGCCGTGGGCCGCTGCTCGAACGCCGGAGCTGCTGCTGTTCCGGCGAGGCCCCGGTTCTCCCTTGTTGCCGCCGAGCTGTTGCTTTGCCTCGCCCGGACCTCCTTGTCGCCCGGCCTGTGGCCGAGAGCCTCGCCAATCGCCGCCGCCGCCGCTGTTCCAACGACTTCCCCGCTGTCCAGCTTCATTTTATTGCTCAAATCAAGGTAAGCAACTCCCTAAACTTTGTCTAGGACATTGGGTACTAGTAGACTTGTTTAGGGAGCAATTAGTGTGGATTGAGGGCTGTTTAAGTACTGATTGGGTTGCTAGATTGGTGGACTGATGATGGCTAGATTTTGAATTGTTTATGGCTGATTCGGTGATTGAGTATGGCGGGCCTTAATGGCTGGTTTGATGGAGTGACATCGGTTGGGTTATCGCGTTAAATGCGTTAAATCGTGTTGGAATGGCGAGCTATGTTTCGGTTGAGCGTTGCTGGATGTGTGGGCTGATTTGGTGCCCGAATCGCATATGTCGATGGTTATTTTGATGGCTGGATTTTAGCGGGATGAGGAAGTGACGTTGGTTGGGTTATTGAATGAAATGCGGATTAATATGTGTCGGAGTGGCGAGTCGTGTCGCGATGAATTAATGCCGGGTTTGTAGGTTGATTTGACACTCCATTGGCGTATAATATTCGTTGTTTCTATGGCTAGTTGTTGTTGCCTTGAGATAACCGATTGTGAGTGTGCATTTGTGATTTTAATTGTTAGAATCTCGGTTGTTTGATTTGCTAAGCGTGGCTGATTTTGTGGCGGGTTACGGCTGAAATTGTGGCTGAACTTATGGCTTGTTTGATGGTGGAATCTATGTCAAGAGCATTGGTTGTTTGTGTGTGATTCAATGCTCGATTGGCTGTCATTCATGTTGGTCACTTGTGATTGGGTTGACACAGTCTATGTGAGCTTGAATTACAGTGATAGATGTGCTTGTGTTAGCTTGACGTGTGACCGACACTTGGTTCGAGTGAATTGTATGGCGTGTGTGGTTGATTGAATAAGCCCGGATTGATCGGAGGGCTGCCAACCTGTAGGGTGTTGACCCGGGTTGTAAGAAAGGACCTGTAGGGTGTTGACCCGGGTCGTGAGAATGGTCCTGGAGCGTGTTGACGCGGGACAAAGCCCGGATTGATCGGGGGCTGCCAGCCTGGAGCGTGTTGACGCGGGTGGCGAGAAAGGACCTGTGGGGTGTTGACCCGGGTCATGAAAAAGTTAGATGAATGCGCATGTGTATTGTACCTAATGGAATTGGTGAATGTACGTGTGAATGACGTTCGAGTGATTGTGATATGTACGTGAAGTGTTATTGTATTACAGTGATTTGACTAATGTGTAGAGCTAGCGTGTGATTTGAGACAAGGTAAGTACATTATATGAAATTTGTTATGTGAATAATTAGATTGCCTTTTTAGACTCGTCTGGGTACGCATTGGCCTATGTGGGGTTTAGGGGTCTGCTTATTGAGAAATATTATCTTGGTTATTATATAACCACTTTCAGATCCGCGACCGTGATCGACTTGAAGATGCCGCCAGAGTACTACAGGGATTGAAGGATAGATCAATTTACCCTGTCTTTTGAGTATATTTTTGTAGAGGAGATAGGCTTGTAAACCACCGCCCCCTTTTGAAAATTGTGGTTTTTAAATTGGTAGCCTGGATTACTGTTTTGTATTAATGACTGCTTTATGAAATTATTGTTTCGTGCTATCATTTTGTCATCTTGTTAGTTGTCTGGGTTGTTTTATTTTGCTTCCGCTTGCGTAGTTCGTTTGGGTCGGCGATGCGTCCTGGGACGTCGCGTTCAATGATCGACCATCGAGGGGTGTTGGGAGCCCGTTGGGGTTCGGGGCATGACATGAAAACTCCGTTGTATCGCGATGCCATACTCAATTTGGAACGTGAGAAGAAGTTGAGCAATGAGCAAGTAGATGCATGGAGAGAGGCTCTCATGGAGGTTGATGCAATAAAGGGGTGGGAAGTGAAGAAGTACAGAGGGTAAGCTAGATGCTTTCCTTGTGTTTGTTTCCCCAATTTTCCTTAACAGTTGATCATAGATGTAATAAATTCCAGTATGATTGAGGTGGGACTTTTACTATTAGTATTATTAAATAAACAAACCTACGCTACATGAGTCAAAAAATGCGAAACTGCTTAACAAGGTCATCTTATATAATGGGCGAATAATTATATAACAGCTAGGTAGCCTAACTAATATTTGATTGCGGGCATTGGAAGGGAAAAGAATGGGTTAATGACATGCCATGCACATTCCTATAAAATTATTTCATCTTGCAACACGTTGAACATTTCTCCTTTTGAATACACTCTGTTCAATTTCTAGAGTTATCACTCGAACACAATCATAAAATATCAATTTGAACTGCATAAATATTTATACATCTATTTTGTGCAAACGTTATTAATATAATCCCAAGATTTCTAAACTCATGTTGGAATCAAGTCAAATTTCGGGTCATGACATGGCGCATGCATTGCCAAGTGCATAAAAAGTATGTTTCGGAGTGACGTTAATGTCTAATATGGACTCTTAAGAGACAACTTCTAGATTGTTAAGGTCCCATTAGTTGTCCGATTATTCTGTAGCTTATCTGGTGCTTGAATAACATCATTTCTAGCTATGTAATCGTGATTTCACATTTTTTCCTCACTAAAATGGTTTTCCATTGTGGCAGCCATAGCGATGTGATTAAATTGGTAGTTGGGGAGGTCATGGAAAAGTTGAAGACAAAACATAGATCGGTGACTAAACATTTAGTTGGAATTGATGATCGAGTTGCAGCAGTAACCAAATTGTTAGACATCGACTCAAGCGGCGTGCGGCTCATTGGAATTCATGGCATGGGGGGTATCGGTAAAACGACTCTCGCCAAAGTTGTCTTCAACCAACTCTCTTCTCATTTTGGAAAATGTTGTTGTTTCCTTGAAGATGTTCGAGCGAAGTCATCAAGAACTGATGGCTTAGTTGAGTTGCAAAAAAAGTTATTATCCGAAATGGGCTATCCTATAGGAACAAGGAGCATTGACGAAATTGATTATGGAACAAAAAGGATTGGAGAAGCACTCAGCAATAAAAAAGTCCTCATTGTGCTTGATGATGTTGCTAACAGCGAACAAGTGGAGAAATTAGTTGGAGGGAATATTTTGTATTCTGGATCTAGAATATTGATTACGACTAGAAATAAAGATGTTTTGCAAATCAATGGACCAAACTATCAAATCTTACAATATGAAATGGAGGTGATGAGCAGTGATCATGCCTTAAAGCTTTTCAGTAGGCAAGCATTTAACAGAAACTCTCCGTCAGATGATTACAATGATCTTTCGAGGAAAATCGTATATGCTACAGGGAGACTTCCGTTGGCTCTTGAAGTAATTGGTTCGTTCCTCTTTAACAAAAGAGAACGAATATGGAAAGAGACGTTAGAGAAGTTAAGCAAAACCCCCCACGAGGATGTTTTTGGAAAGTTGAAGATCAGCTATGATGCCTTAAGTTACGAGCAACAACAAATTTTCCTTGATATTGCATGCTTTGTCATTGGTGCGAATACGATGTATGCAATTTACATGTGGCAAGATTGTAATTTTTTCCCAAATACCGGAGTTGATGTCCTCGTTAGCATGTCCTTGGTAAAGATTGTGAAGAATACGTTTTGGATGCACGATCAACTTAGAGATCTTGGAAGGGAAATCGTTCATCGAGAAAATCCAGAGAATCCTGGAGAGCGAAGTAGGATATGGATTGGCAAGGAGGTCCTCGATGCAATAAGAACGAAGGAGGTAAAATACCTAAGGTGGAAACTAATAGTTTCTCTACTAGAATATTGTCTACACGCTGCACTGGGATGTTCCTTTTCCTTTCTTCTTTTAGACATTGCAATCCTTTTTCTCTAAAACAAAATACTGAACATCACTTACTTTTTGTACTCATTTGCAGATGAAGAGGAAAGTTAGAGCACTAAATCTTGATAATTATTATAAGGTCATTATCAGAAGTGAAGAGATTAAAAGGTTTGAACATCTCAGGTACCTCAAATTACTTTCTGGAACTTTCAATGGTAACTTGGCAAATAGTCTTACCAATTTGAGGTGGTTTGTTTGGTCTAATACTACTCGAGTGTCTTTTAAGGCAACCAATATGAGCTTAAAGAATGTGGTCATTCTTGAATTTTCAAACAATGACTTCATAGATGGTTCAAAGCTACAGAACTTAATCGAGGTGTGTAATGTGCTTATTTCTATTTTTTTTTCTTTGAAAGTAATATTTGAATGTTCATCAATTAAGTATTACATTTATTTTGACAGATGGCAGGAAAATTGAAAGTTCTTCATCTTGAAGGATGTCCTAGCATAAACAGAACACCAGACTTCTCTAGATGCCCGAATTTGGAGAGGCTTATTATCAGATATTGTTACAAATTGAGGAAAATTGGTGGCTCTATTGGGAAGTTGGAGTGTCTTATTGATTTGAAGATTAGTGATTGCTCTTCTCTTGAAGATTTGCCTAAAGAAATCGGGAATTTAGTGAATCTTAAGCACTTCTCGGTCACGAAGTGTCCAGTGAAGAATCTCCCAGATTCCATATGGAAGTTGAAATCGTTACATGAGTTGCACTTTGACAATGACGTTTATAGGCTACGTTCAGCAAATTCATGGGAGTTACCGAGTGCTATAATGCTTCAAAATCTAACAATGCTTCAACTTCGTAGTCCCAATTTGAAAGGTTGACTTCCTTCGGCAATTGGAAGTTTGCCCTTTCTAAGAATCCTACGCTTGTCGTGCACTGGCATCATTGAAGTTCCAGAGACAATTAGTACGCTTCCGTGCCTGCAAATGCTTGAGTTAATAGATTGTGATGAGATTCAAGAACTGCCGACACTTCCCACAAGTTTAAACAATCTGCAAGTGTCATCTAAATCGTTGCGAGTAGTCCCAGACCTCTCGAATTTGACTAATTTGGTTACGTTGGACCTATCTGATGGCTATTGTCAGAGTCAAGGAGGTAAAATTTGTACCGGTGACTTAGGAGGGATTGGGATGTTATCCAAACTGAATAAGTTGGACTTGAAACTTCTCAGTGTCCCTGCTCCTTCTGAGTTGGCTTCCCTTTCTCAGTTGAAGGAACTTCATTTGTCTGGTTTGGACCTGCGAACACTCGCGCAACTTCCATCGTCTCTGTTAAATTTAGGGCTCGATAACTTCAATTCAACCGTGTCACTCTCATCCAAATTAGAGAATTTGTCAAGTTTAATGCTCTCGTCTTTTCAAGTGCAAGATATTCAACTCGACGGGCTTCAACTTCAAAATTTAACAGCGTTGGTTCTGGAAGGCGGTGAATCCCTCCAGAGATTCAGGCTGTCAAACATGAGGAAGCTCAAAATCGTCTGGGTAGAAAATTGCCCAAAGCTAGTTGAGATCCAACTTGCCGGGGTGTTCGAATCATTGGTGGAATTTTCTATCAAGCAGTGCAAGTCCTTGGGGTGGTTAGTGTATGCCGGTGAAGTAGGGTCTGCTAATGAGTTGATTATTGGGGAAGGGAGAGTAATTCTTCTGTCGAGAGTGTTAAATAAGTTGAGATTTTTCACGCTTTCTGGTTGCCCAAAGATACTCCAAATTGATGTTCTCGGTACATCAGAATCGTGGGAACATTTTGTGGTCTGGAATTGTCGTTATTTGCAAAGTGTTTGTGGTTTATCACACTTAAAGAAGCTCAAGGTTTTAGACATCGTCTTATGCGCTGGGCTACAGGTTGTCGAGGGCCTTGACGAGTTAGAGTTTTTGAATAAAATACAAATTGGTGACTGCCCATCATTGGAAAGGTTGATTGATGTATCAACCACCAAATTGCCAAATGATTGCCGCATAAACATCTGCCACGGCGGGAAGAAAGGATTCTTTGGCTCCGTCCAATCTTTCAAGAATAATAAGGTCAGTTTGAAACTCCTTTGTTTCTTTTTTCTTTTTCTTTTTTCTCTCTTTTTTTTTTATTGATGGATGGCAACCCTTGCCTAGTTCTCCCCATTTGATTACTCCCATCTCTATGTCACTTATTACGTAATAAATATTTGATGTGTTAATATAATCCTATATCGCTTGTCTACAAAGTTTAGATGTGCCTCATACACATGTAGTAGTCTCTCTTCATCTAATAACTTATTCTAACATGATGAACTGGAAGAGAGATTTATTATATTATAGGACCTAACTGAAATGATTCAAAAGGCCATTGACAAAAATGAACGCAACTCTTGAGGTTGATCATATACCGAAAATTGCAGAACGTGGAAAGCAAACATGTGTTGGTCTCAACTGTTGGTAAAAAAGAGACCGGGTGACTTTTTATTTTTAAGTAACTTGCTGATATCTTATCAATACTTTGATAAGATTACGAATTTTTTTTAATAATATGTAAATTATAAATTTTTATACCAACTTACCAATTTTTATTTGCATAATTCACCAATGTTTCAAATTTACTAACGTTTTAAAAAAAATTAACAACCTAAATTATAGCGAAGGGAAATGGGGTTGTTTTCGGGGTATATCGACGCTCTTGAACAAAGGTCTACCTTTCTATGTGGATTAGTCGAAAGGCTAATTTGCAATATATAGACGAATGCGCAAGACGGAAACGCGGTTCCTTCCGGCATGCCATTGTGGTTGCCATTTCACGAGTAATTGCCAGAACTTCATTATCTAGAAGAGATGTAATTGTTCAGCTTCTTTTATTTTATTTATTTTTATCTTTTTTTAATCCGTTTTAATATCGAGTTCTTACTTAAAGTACCCATTATCAACCCAATTTTTATGTGTTGGATTGCCTTCCATTTGTCTGTATGTGGTAATATGATATTGTTTTCTAGGCCTGGCCTTTTTCTGCTAATATGATATTGTTTGTCTTATTGTATATGGCAAGAGAAGTTTATATCTTAGGTACTTGATGCTGGGCATTAACATCATGGATCAAGTAGGTTTTGAATCGAAATCCGGTCGGGTGCCGGACATGAATTGTCTGGCATTTGGTAGTACAAGAAATTGAACTCGTGTCATGCATAATTCGCAATGCACAAATTTATTCCTCAATCTTTTAAGTACGCTACGTGGAGTTCGTACACTATCCAGCATGATATTGTTTCTCTTCTTATATGTAGATTCCCTTTCGTACTTCAAACGCAACTTAGGCAATGAATCCATCTTCACTTTCATTAGTGTATATCCTTTCTAGGAATCGAATGTCTTTTCATCTCCCTACGTAGAGTGACATTAGTTGATACTATTTATTTGATTTTTTTTTCCAAAAGGATGAAGAGGCCGAGCGAAACAAATCAGGTAGGAGGAAGGCACATGGATTGGGTTGCATCAGTAACAGATTTCTCTCTCTCTGTGGCGATTCACATAGAAGAGCAGAGTAAAACAATCCTCTCTCGATCCACAAATTCCAGCAGCTTCTCTACCACCGATCGACGCCGGAATCCACCATCTCCGATCACGAGCATTCACCGTCGCTTGCTTACCGTCACTGGCCACGGAGTTACAGATTCACTTCACAGAGAACACACGCTTGAAGCTGGAAAAAGCCTCTCTCTCGGATTCCTCTGATCAATAAATTTCTCTCTGTTTTTCGGCCGAGAAGTCTAAAGCACTCTGGGTCCGTTCGAAGCTCCTTCTCCGGCGTTGTGGTTCAATCACAGTTTGTGACCAGTAAGCGGACCTTACCTTCATATGCTCTGCTCTCAGCTATTCTTGGAGAAACAAAAAAGGCGGACAAGTCTAATTGAGATTTGTGTGAAATCTTCTCTTATTACTGATTTATTAATGATCTGAACTCATTTTGATGCTGTTGTGATAGCTCGGATTGGAATAGATGCTTCGATGTTGCAGTTAGATCTCTTGTCCGAACTGGTCACCACGTGTTTGATGAAATGCCTGCATCGCATCAGTATGAATATAGCTCCGAATCTGAGTGAGTTCATCTTGTCTGCTTGAATGATTCAATGTACTGGTTGTATAGGCTGCAGAAACCTTATTGATGTTAACCTTTGAGTCATTTCCAATGAACTCGGCCTTGATACCTTTTCCATGTTGATTGCTGCTGATGCTTTCATTAGGAGTTGTTTGAGGTGCGGAATTATGCCTTTTGTGTGAAAGAACGAATTCTTGTGATGGCCGATAATGATGGTGCACGCCAATTTACATGTTTTGAAAGCAGGATCAACGGACTTAAGGAGTCTAACCCTGTAAACTTCTTCATCGGAGCACCAGCTCTCATTCCCGGCCAATGATCGACGCTGGAATCTGCCCCCTCCGATCACAAGCATTTACTCATGTCACATTCTTTTCGTCACTGGCCACTGGAGTTACAGAGTCACAGAACCGAGAAGCATTCACGGAGAACACACACTGGAAGCTGGAAAAATCCTCTCTCTTGGATTCCTCTGATCAATTCATCTCTCTCTCCGATGCCGGTCACGAACAAGCACCGTCGCCATCGCCAGTTCACCGTTTCGAAGCCGCGCCACCAATACTCTATTTCACTCTGTTTTTCGGCTGAGAAGTCTGATGCACTCAGGGTCCGTTCGAAGCTCCTTCGCTGGCATCATCACTGGAGACACTTCCAGGACTTCCTATTTCTACTCCAATCACAGTTCATGACCGGTAATCGCACCTTACGTTCATATGCTCTGCTCTCAGCTACTCTTGGAGAAAAAAAATTGGGCCGAGAAGTCTAATTGAGATTTGTGTGAAATCGTCTCTTATTAATGATTCATTAATGATCTGAACTCATTTTGATGCCGTTGTGATAGCTCGGATTGGAGCAGATGCTTCGATGTTGCGGTTAGATCTCTTGTCTAATCTGATCACCGCATGTTTGATGAAATGCCTGAATCGCACCAGTATTAATATAGCTTCGAATCTGGCTGAGTTCATCTTTTCTGCTCGAATGATTCACTGTACTTTTTGTATAGGCTGCATAAACCTAATTGATGTTAACCTTTGAGTCATTTCTGATGACCTCGGCCTTGATACGTTTTCAATGCTTTATGTAATAATCTCGATCCCGCGAAATTAGCTGAAAGTGTTGATGTACTGAATTATAAGTACCCATGTTGATTGCTGCTGATGCTTCATTAGGAGTTGTTTGAGGGGAGGAGTTATGTCTTTTGTGTGAAATAATGAATTCTCGTGATGGCTGATAATGGTGGTGCACGCCAATTGACCGTGTTCTGTATACTTTGTTGTGTGTATCTATAGCGGCGGGAGAGTGGATTTGCCGGAAGTTGACACTCTCGGCCAACTGGAGCTTTTGCTCTTGAAATCAATGGAAAACAAAGATGGAATGGTGGCAGATTGATGAAGGAGGAAGTGGCTCGTGTATTCTGGATTAAATGGACCGAGAAAGGAAAAGGAAAAGTAGCAAATAAAAATATAAAAAAATAAGAAAATACAAAAAATAAAAAAGATTGATGGAAAAAGATAGAGAAATGCAGGCCTCAAATTAGGTAGTTAGATGTTAGGTTAAGATTTCGTTGATTTTCATTGTAGTCGGGGTTGATATATTTTAGGAAATTGCATTTTATGACTTTGAATTTTAGATAGGTTTTTTTTTCAAGATGAAATAAATAACAAGATAAGGAAAATAAAAATGTAATAATAAAAGGAAAAAGATAAAATGGTCGACTAATCCAACCACACACACATGCACTTCACTATTACGAAAGACCACTAATCTTTTCTTCTTCTTTTTTGTATTTTCTAAATTAACATCAAATGCAATTCTAACAGGAGATATCACTAATCATGAAATGTACGTGCCCAAGAGCATGGTTTCACGCTAAATGTAAATCCCTTATTCATTTATTTATTTTTATTATTTTTCATTCATAATGTAAATAACATGGATCAATATTAGTGCCAAACTGAACATGCAAACTACATGGTAAACCGAGCATGAACTTGAACCGCATTAAATGCGGCCCTACTACTAATGATGCTAAATCTTTTGCTTTTTTCTATTTATTAACTCTTTTTTTCCTATCCCAGGAGAACATGATTAGGCACTCATGTAACACAAAGTATGCGAGCCATGGCTAGTGACTCATTTAAACCTTAATTCCTAATCAAATTAATGCTTGAACGGGACCGGAATCATGACAATAAAAGCTAAAAGCGGGACGACCAGAAAGTAGGGGATCGGGTTCCATGTATACCACGGCATGAAGATTTATCAATTTAATGAGAGGTGAACATGGATTTAATGTGATGCTTTCCTACATGAATGTATCTACTTAGGTGACCCAAATGATGAGCAGATGATACCAAACAACCTTCAACTCAGTTCCCATTGAACCCGGACAGCACGTTACTCGTCCATATCCGGCAAATATAGGACACGTACATGCAAGGACTGGATGAGGAATCATCACGGATCAATCGCGATTTGTTCCTAGATGACATGCGAACCAAGCTGAATATTTCTCATTAAGATCAAAAGTCAAATACGGACGACGAGCCTCTCCATCATATACAACATATTTACAATCTCGAAATGTAATGGTTTGATGAGAAACGAGCACAGGTACCATTGCGACACTCTCCTACATGAATCTACATGTTCAAGTTACAAAAAAAAATGTAAATGCAGTCAAAAATTGATGGTTTGAGCAAGGAATAAGCGCGGACACTAAGGATCAACATCACCACGCGTCACATAGGCATGCCAAAACGATATTAAATCGTCGTGGACTTCACACACAAGTTACGCATCACCATGGATGATTAAATTAACATAGTAATAAAATTAGAATCTCCATATTTGAAACCCAATACATCATGACCAGCAAGTCTCCGAAGTGAACCAGTGAACGGATAACAGTAAACAATGAATTGAGGAGCGTAAAAACGAACGGAGGAGCTACTAAACGCATATAGATAAAAACTAAAGGTTATTCCTACCTTTTATTGGAGATTAAACAAACACATCAACAAAGACACTGATAATAAGGTAAGCATGAACACAACGAAGTGAAATAGAGGTCCTTAGGGGTGTCAAAACCAAACACAATACCCGAATCGAAACACGAACCGACCCGATCCGAACATGAAATTTTCTTATTGGGTCGGGTTGGGTCTCAACTTGTTTGGGTAACAATAAAAAAAATTGGATATTGTTTGGATCTATTAGGCTTGGGTACCCAAGCCCAACCCAAACAAGAAAACCCAAACAAGAAACCCTTACATCTCTCTTCCACATCTCTCTCCCTCTCTCACCTCTTCTGCGATCTCTTTTGCAATCTCTCTTCCACGTCTCTCTCCGCCGCGATGGAGCCGCCGCCGCCGCGACCCTCCGCCTCCTTGAAGCTCCGCTTCATGTGCAGCTATAGCGTAGGCGTGGCCCCACGCCCCCATTCCAAGTCCCTCTTCTACCACGGCGGCGAGACCCGCATCGTCACCGTCGACCGCGCCTCCGCGGCCGCCTCCCCCGTCTCCCCCACCCTCGCCGTCGCGCCCCCCTTCGCCCTCAAGTACCAGCTCCCCGACTCCGACCTCGACCCCCATCTCCCGCTGCATCGACGACGACCTCGCTGTCATGATGGACAAGCTCGACCGCCTCTCCTCGTCGTCGCCCTCATCTCCGCCTCGGGCCTCTCTCCGTCGCCGCCAGCACCGGTTGTCTCCGCCTCCTCGTGCTCCGATCTTCTCGTCGGTCGCTCGCTCGCTCTTCTTTGCCTCGCCTCATTCGCTCTCCGCGTCCATCCTGTCTGCTCGTCGGCGCTCTGCCTCCGATCCATTCTGCTCTCGCGGCTGCTCATCTGCGCTGCTTCGTCGCCTCTTCGTCGTCGTCGCGGCCTTCGTCGTCGTGATCTGCTCCGTTGCCTCTGCTCGCTGAATCTCGTCGCGATCTGGTTCGTCCTATCCGTTCCTGTTTTTTTCTCCTTTCTTTAGGTAGGATTTGGTTGTTGATCACGGAATTGAATCGATATATGCACTAGCTCGTACACTGAGTGGCATTTGGAGGCGTATGTTCTTAGCTTCAGTCGTTAATTTTCCTCTTTGCTTCGTAGGATTTGTGTTCATGATGCTTAAATTTTCTTCCCTCGATAAGAAAACGATCTCATAGTTCGAAGCTCCAAAATGTGGAAGGAGCAAGTCCACAACGATCCCTCATACAGATTCTCTCTGCATATGTCTCACCGATTCTGAACGAATCATCTATAAGCCCTCTATAGATGTCCCCACCAAAACAATGAAAAGATCGATGTCTCCAAACAATGAAAATTGATGTCTGATCAGCAACAATGTACATCTCCAAATCTAGGATTTTTCGGTTCCTTCTGGCCAAATCGGCAAGGGATCCTCCGATTATGACACAGCTCAGCAACCTCTGTAGATATCAACCTGCAACCATCTTGGAGTGAGGGATTCAGAGGAAATCCTCACCGGAAAAAGAACACTGGCAATGACTCTACTTTCAAGAGGATCAGATTCCTCATATATTTGTTTCTTTCATTCCACTCCACTCCACGCCAACTTTAAGAGTGTATCCTTCATACTTTGCCTTAATGCACTGCAGAGCCTGAGGCAATTCATCCTCCCGGACTCCAATTCATACCCCCCTCTTTCCAAAATACGAACCCGACCCGAACATGACCCGAACCGACCCGATTGTGTGGCTATATCATGTTCGGGTCTTGTTTCGAGTCGGGCCAAGCACACATATTCATTGTTTCGGGTCGGGTCGGGTATCATGAAAACCCGACCCGACCCGACCCATTGACACCCCTCAGGTCCTTGAAATGCTCAGTTTCAAACTCGACCGGTCCTGAACCGGCAGAAACAAAGATTCATCTATCCTTCGTCAAGAACATCCAGATGCAGAGAATCCTACCTTTTTTATACTTTTTGCAGCAAAAAGAAATGAAAGTGAAAGTCCCCTCCTTTTTTTTTCTCCTCCTCTCTCCTCCCTTTTTGTCCGTGGCTTGTGTATATATATACATCTTTGTGAAGGAGTCTGAAGTTGTTTCTTTGTTCGTGGATGGATCTCTCTCCAAATTCTGAGCATTTAAGAACGACGATCTTCTTTGCTTTGACTAAGCGATCCAATCCAAAAATCGCCGCCGCAGAGTCAATGAATTGTCCCCCTGAATGTTCATCCATGGAACGCATGGCCATGAATGTTGATTGAATCTT